AAAAAAAAAAAAAAAAAAAAACCATGAACTTCTGAACTAGAGAGCTGACTTCGGATTCTAATGGAATCACGTCAGTGACCTGGGGCCGGTCAGTTCGAAGGTGCTATGTCAAGGTCGTCATCCTTGTTGGGAAAAAAAAAGTAATGCAAGGCATGAAGCAATGCAACATACCGGGCAGTTCTGTTTGACGATATATATAAGATAAAAGATCGTAAAATATTATAAGCATATGAACGAGATCAAGTTCGAACTACCTCCAGGCGCCAAAGATAGCTGGCAGCCAAGATGTAGCCAAGGTGCCGCCTTGGACCCTGAAAAAGTGTGCATGCCCGGGGCACACTGGGTGGGCAGGGCCCCTGCCCAGTGCCCACTGCCCAGAACTTCCACAACACCAGCCCAGTAGTCCCAGGTTCCAACCCAAATAGCCCAGTAGTCCCCATGTTCAACGCCATATAGCCAACATCATTCAAAGCTACCGTCTTCACCCGAATATAACACCCTGTCATTATAGCTGTATTCGGGGCATTTTAAAGTCCAGATGCAGCGATAATGACCAGGCGTTCTATTCGGGTGAAGGAAGCTCATTAGGCAGGGGGAGCTCAAAAACTTCAAAAGGAAGCAAGCAAAAGCTCCAGGGAAAAGGAAAAACAATGTCGTACCACTCAGGGAGTGTGGTGTCTTGAAGAATGGGTTGTTGCCACTGCTCAATGTACAACTCCCACTGTTGCAAATCTGCACTCACAGCACAGGCAAACAGATGGTGGAATTTGGAGATTTCCATGAGAAGACGAACTGTTCACATGGAACTGTAATTAAAGAAAAAAATAAACTAGAAGAATGTGCAAGAAAAAAGTAGCTTTTTTTGAACTCCTTTGGTTACAAAAGTTGTGCATTATCTCTTTCTCTATTGTTTCTTTAAAGTTTGAAATTTGAACTTGTGTGTATGCTTCCTGCTGGTGATAAGCAACGGGACTGTTGCCCCCCCAGAATAGATGGGGCCTGTGTTTCAAACTAAAAAAAAAAAAAAGTTATGCAGCATCGAAAGAACAAACACTCTCTCTACAAGGAGAACGTTGCTAAGGAACTGCTTAGTAACTGGAGACAGACGGTAGTGAAGATCATAGGACGGAAAGTACGATAGAAGGGGATAATGCCGTTTTTCAGGCCTCCACACCAGAAGGGGGCGGAGCGTGCGTGAGCATCTGTTGTGATTTTTCTGACTTGTCGGGGAATCGGAACCGGACTGAAGCTCCCCAGAATGGAAAAGCAGCCAGAAGGCCCAGAACCCTAAGGTTCTGTTTTTTTTTTTTTTTTTTTTTTTTTTTTTTTTTTGATGGCAAGTAGTGGAACAGAGGTACACAGGACTGGGGAACACGTAGGTGGGCGGTAGAAACCAGACAAGTAAGGAGATACCGTAGGAGACAATGGTATGGGGATGGCAAGACGACATGCGGCCTGAGGGATTGCTAGGAACGGGCCGTTACGGGCGCCTGCCACGCCCCGTCCTATTGGAGATTATCCTGCTGAGTGAGTGAGTGCTGCCAGTAAGCTTCCCGAGCATGCGGGGCAACCCCCCAAGAAGGGCCACGGTTTTGGGGGTGGGACGATACGTAGCAGCTCCCCCCCTTGATTAGGCGGCTAGTGCCACAAGGGTTGGGCCGATCTCCTCTTCTCGTCTTCTCTCCCTCTTTGGCTGTCAAAACATGATAGCCGCTGATAAGCAACCGGACTGACCCCCCCCTCCAGAATAGAAGGGATATTGTTGTTTCGGTGGGGGGAAAAATCATATTAAAAAATGCGAGGATTTGGCTCCTCGGCAGGCCTAAGGGCCCCATTTTTGGCATGTACCCACCCTAAGTGAAGGCGGGCCTGAGAAAATCATGAGGGGCCCATTGTTGTCAATTTCGCATTTGGGGTTCAGGCAGTTGCGTCGTGTCAGTTGTTTGGAGGAACCCAGGCCACGGCCAGCCACACTCTGTTTCAGCCTTCTCGACCTTTCTTTGAAGCAGGCCCTGGGCCGCATCTGCAGCAGTATACACGACAGGCAGTTGAGAGGCATAACCAACTGGGCCCAGGGCAATAGCAGCAAAGGCCCAGCTACCCGGGGCCTACTGGAAGCTTCTGGGCGCACGCCCAGTCCAGCCAGGCCGAGCTCTTTCCATATAGGAAAGTGCTCGCAGCCTGGGGAGTCATTCGGGCACTTGCTAGTTTGCGGCAGCGCTGCTGGAGCGAGCGCACACGGGCTGCTGCTAGCACAGAGCAAGGTGCAACGCACGTGCGGTCGTGTAGAAGGAAGGGCGCTGCTGAGGGCAGCGCCATAGCCCAACTCCCATAGCTAGCTGGGGCTTCGTTGTACAGCAAGGCGTAGTGGTGGTCTTCGTGCATGAGGGAGAAGACGTGGGTGATGGCGAGAGAGTGAGAGGGAGAGATTAGGATGGTGGCGTGAGGGCACATACCTGGTCTTGGCGATAGTCTGCAAGAGGCGACATCTTCATGTACTTCGATGGCTGCTGACATCAACAGTTGCGGTGTCAGTTCGTAGGCTGGAAGTAGCTGTAGGGTAGCAGTCTGGGCGCTGAGCGCCAAGTAGGGGAAAGGGCTCTGGATACGTATGTGGGTGATGGCGAGAGTAAGCTCTCATCGACACTCAGATTCAGTGTTTCGGTTCTCCTTTGGTGTAATATTGGTGCAATTCTAATTTCTGGACAGTGTGAGACTTTCTGGCTTTTAATGCGATTGTGCAATCTGGATTCTGTCATCTCGCTATTGCTCAAATTCCTTGCAATTTGCTATCAGAGCTGGCTCGAACTGCACTTACTGGTTCTTCGCAATAGCTGTTCGGTGCTTCGCATGTGTGAGTGGGGCGGTGATAATGCTTGGGCGTTGAACGTGCGGTGGCCCAGGGCCGTGTGGGTGCGCCAGGTAGGCTCTGAGGTGACATTGGGGTGTACGCTGGATAATGAGAACTCGCTGATGTGGCATTTAAGCCGAGGTGGAACTGCATTTCGCTGTTTGTTGTGCCAAGGCAAAGACCGGTCATCATAAATGCACGTCAGGTTGCTGGTGAGAAATCTGTGGTTTGGGGCAGCATTATGAGGTACGTTGCTCTCATCCGTATCTACCCTCTCCATTACTTCTTACCGTGAGGAAGTGAGTTCTGTCTTGAGAGTCCTCTTGATGATGTCGCAAGCGCTCAACCTTGAGAGTCGACATTCTTCCTAAGCAGCAAGCTGGTGGGAGACGGGCAAAGCCTCTGAAGGGCCCTGGACAAAGCACTGGGGTCACAGTCACCATGTCAACCCGCTGGGACTAGTACATGCATGCTTTGTCGCAAGTCCTTGGTTCTTCTTGTTGTGCTGATAGAGGTCATGCTGGGGACGCCAGCCCTATAAGAGAAGCTCACCAGACCGTCTATAAATGTTTCTGGCGGGTTCCTGTTGGACCCTGGCTGATTGTGACGTTAAATAATTTGTGAGGACCGTGGGGGCTGTCCTTAAACTGCCTCTTGATCAGCCAGATCAACCGGAAGTAAGGCTCGTTGCATGCGAGGATAAATAAGATGCAGAGCAAGCACGCTTCGCATAGAGTTGGGGCACAGGGGTGGGCTGGATTGCACACCTTTAGATACGCTGCTCAACCAGATGCTCAGGACGTTGACATAAGTGACTACTCGAGAAGGATACAGGGGGAGGGAAGATTCTGGCAACTGTTTGTCGCTGGACTAATAAGACTAATTGCCATCCAGCATGCATCACCACATGTGATTTATTTTTATTTTCGACTATTTAGCTGTACGGACTTGGTTGACAACTAACAGACAGATGTAGAAAGAATAGAACATTCCTTGCTGCATTGCATTTTGTTTTAGAATAATCTAAAAATAGAAATAGAGTTACCTTCAGGATCTGACACTGGTTGCTGGTTACCATTTGACTACTTTCCTCCAGGCTGACCGAAATTAGTTGTTTAGTATTACTCGGTTGGGTGTCATGCTGAGGTAGGATTCAATGTGGGTTCTAGTTTAGATCACACACCGCAGAAGCTCATGAGTGAAGAAGGAAGCAGTGCGGACGAGGAACGATTAGTAGAGGATCTTAGAGTTACCCGCAGAATTGCATTCAGTCGACCGATCACTTTCCTATAGCTAGAGCAAGGAGAGGAAAGGAGGCTGTGGAGGGAAGCCAGGGAAAGGACTGCATTACAGAGGGTTAGGGAAGCAGCTGCCAACACCGAAACGGCACTTGCAGCAGCAGTAGAAGCAGAAGCTAGAGCCAACGCCGAGGCAGCCATGGCTACCGCCTCTACTATGTCACAGACCTCGTCTCAGGCCTCGTCGTCAGGTATCAGTCAGGGGTACTCTCAAGTTTCCGCTAATCAGTCTGTTGGCCCGCAAGTCACCAGCAGCCTCAACTCACGCCAGAAGAGTATGAGATCTTACAAGCGGATGCTCTTCATGATCAGCTACAGCAGCAGTTGAGGGATGTAGAGGACAAAAGGAATAGGCTAGAATGAGGAAAGCCAGACTAGGAGCTAGGAGGCAGGAGTTAGAAGAGTTGGAAGCACTAGATGATTCAACATTGGATCCTATGGTCAACGCACTGCGACACTCGATGCTATGCGTGGCTGAAGCACAGGCAGTGCAGCAGGAATGGTTGGTCGAGCTAGTGGCCGGCCAAAATCGTATTGTGGCAGCACTACAGGCTCCTCGTCCCATGATGAGGCAGCCTCAGTACTATGTAGCTCCCCCTACGGTTGCGGGTCCTTTAGTGATGCTGTTGCCGGTAGGCGCCTCTTTCTCTTCCATGTTTGGTATGCCTATCACAGGTGGTGTAGCAGCAGCTACTGGTCGGGTCCTTAGGACTTCTCCCCTACCATCGATGATGGTGGCAGCTACAGTCCCGCCGTCAGGACCATCTCAAGTTAGCGCGCGGCAACCTGTTCCAGTGGTTATGCAGCCACAACAGCAAACACCTGGGGCAATCCAACCCATGCAGTGGATGCCCAAGATCCCCTTGCTGAATCCTGAACCCTTCTCTAGCGACAAGAAGAAGGAAGAGGACCTGGACACCTAGGTGAGGATTGTGCCTACTTATGTGAGGCACAAACTCACAAGGCCAGAGCAGCAAGTTATAGCTGTTGCATCCTTTTTTGAAAGGCTCTGCAGCCCGACAGTTGAATGGCCTAGTGCAGCAATAGGGCTATGGTCAGAACTTTGATGCCTGGGCCCAAGCCCGGACATTGGAAGACTTCGTACGGACTGTGTACAATAGGTGGCATGACCCTCAGGGGGCTCAAAAGGCCACTGACTCATTTGCTAGTCTTGGTTCAAATGGAACCAAACAGTTCGTGAGGTCACAAATGCCAAAGAACGTTTGATCGTAGTACCTGGAGTGCGCCATGACCCTCATGTACTCCTCACAACTTATCTGAGATGTCTGCCTACAAATGTCAAGAACAAGCTGGTGGATCAGGCCACCATCGATGTTCATAACTTTGCTACTTTCAGCAAGAAGGCCTTAGATATAGAGGCCAAGCTTGGGACCACACAACAGGGACCAGTGGATGGTAGGAGGAAGAAGCTTCCCCAGGATTGGAGGAAGAAGGGCAATCTTATGTTCGTCGACCACGATGGTCAGGCAACTGAGATTGACGACTTCCCCGACTATGGGGAAGACACAGAGCAGGATGGGGCTAGTGAGACTTCGGATGGGGGAGTCGTGGCACCCATCAAAGAAAAGGCTAAGGGGACCGGGAAACAGAAGGTAGGCCGGTCTAAGGGTCAAGGCGACCAAGGAACACCAATTTGGGTGCGACTTGGTTTAGACTACGAGGTGTGGATGGACCGAGTTGCTAGGGGCCCGTGTCTTAACTGTAGCAATTTTGGCCACACGTCTAGGACTTGCCGAGGCAACAAGGTCACAACGAAGGTAGCCTCCCCTACAGTGGTGGGCTTATCTTCGAACTCGATTGGT